TTGATATGGCTCTTGTAGCGATGAATCGTTATCATTTCTGTTGATAAATGTAACTTTTTAATATTGACTGAAGTGGTAATTTTTTAAACACTTACCACTAAACACAATAAAACTAGTATGCCACGTAAATTGATACTAAAAAGTGAGTACAAAAGTCGGAATTCCTGACATCGATCAAGTTTAATTTGCTTTATTATTAGTTTTTTAAATTGCAGAGGAAAATTAAAACTAATAAAATTTGGAACCAAAAAAATGGTAGAAACAGCCTAATTAGTTCAGTACAAATGTTAATTATAGGCTCCTCCTCCCCTGCAGAATTACCAAAAATGTAAAATATGCAGGAAAGGGAGAAAGATAACTAAAGCTAGCTTTTCCATTATTATAACAACAATATCTAATATATATATATATATATATATGTGGCTGCTTAGCCAAATATACAGAATATTTCTCGTTGCAGTTGTAAAAGCTGCATAATGAATGAATTCACAAAAAGGTCCTAGATATGAAGACTAATATTAGAAAGGGAGGCAGAAAATAGACAAAATTTAAAAACCAAGAACAAAAACTCACCAAAACATTCAACAACAACTTGTCTAACCTAGTTTTGATATAATCTGATCTACAGAGGGCATGTTATATTGTCATTGGACTTGACCCTATTCCTGCAAGTGGGGCAAGAAGAGTGAGAGAGCAACCACTTATCAATGCAGGCAATATGGAAACGGTGATTGCACTTTGGCAAGACTCTGATCTTGTCCCCTTCAGAGAAGTCCGTTAGACAGATAGCACATCCCGAAGCCGAAGAAGGAGACCCGGAATTGGCATAGGTTAAAGTTGGCAAAGCCACCATTTCTTTCTTCTTCAGGCCCGAGTTTAGCCTCCGCGAGTTCACCCATTCGACAGGCTCGGTGAGGGTGCGGTTGGCACATCTGACCACGCATTGTAGCATGGAGTTTAGGCCGAGAGCACAAAGGAAAGCACAGATGATTGCAGCCACAATGACCATGATGTTGAAGTCGGTCGCGGGCGCCGGTTCGTGACATGGGTTGTCATGACAATTTGGTGCGGTTGAGGTGGGGCAAGGGGAGGGAGGGGTTGTCCTAGGCATGGAGAGAGGAAAACTAATGGAAATATTGAGTTGGGGAAGAAAGTTTTGGTGAAAGAAAGGAGACAACATGAGTTGTTTTGACAAGCCTTGGAATATAAAAACAAATGTTGGCTTAGACTTACAAGGCAAATATCAATGTTGATTAATCCCACTAAAATATGTTGTGCTCATGACAAACGAGAAGAATAAAAGAAACTAAAAAAAAAAAGGAAAGTTACACGCGTATTTATAGTTAGTGGAATCCACATGTCAAAATATTGAATGCAGAAAGTAACAAAAAAGAATGATAGAAAGAGTGATACTAATATTTCTCTTAAATTCATTTAACTAACTCGCCGCCGTTGCCATTCCCCTGCCAAAAGAGCCCTTTTTGGGGACCTATTTATCTATGTCCAAAGGTTGTTCGCATGCAAAAACCTAGTACTTGACTTACTGGGAATGGCTTAACCTTTTTTTTTATTATTTTTTATTTTTTAAGAATTTGAGATAAGAAAAAAGTAAGAATAGTACAGAAATTGTTTTCCCATGTCGATACAAAATTAAAGGGTACAACGATATCTAGGCAAAAGAGGTAATGGCGGGCCATTCGAGAGAGTGGTTGTAAAATCATGGAGGAAAGGGTGGCAATGGATATGCTTATATGCTTACTTGATAGTCCATTGTCTTCCTCTCCTCTCCCTTTTGTTGTTTATGCGTTTCAAGTTAGAGAAACGGCATCTCTATCCCTGTCCGTCTTTCTCAAGGATCTTTGCCAATTCCTATTGGTTGTTTTTTGCCAAATTGTGATAGACATCAAGCTATCACTTTGGGAAAAGGTAAAACTCTATTGCATTCCCCATTCCCCCAAGGATATTCACAAGGGTGACTTCTAGCCACTATAATTTATCCTTCTTTATGTCATACATTCTCTTTTTATAGGTTATGGTGGGAAGAAGAGAAGAGTTTTAAGTGTTCAGTGTTAAACTCTTCGGTGCAACATGAATTTTGAGACTATTCTCAATTTATCTCTTAAGTTTTAAAAAATGTCACTTTACCTCTTTAATTTTGAATTAGTCCCACTTTAGCTCTGTTCGTTAGAATTTCTAACATAAAGGTTAGTGGGAAAATTTTAAAATTTAAAAGGACAACGTGAGAATTTTTAAAGTTTGAGAGGCAAACTGAAAATGACTCCAAAACTAAGGGGATACTAGTTATGATAATCCCACTTTTTACTTTCCTTTAAAATTATATTTCCCTTACATAGTTACATTCCTTTCCGGTTTGGTAAAGGCACCTTTCCTGTAAAAAGCATTAAGTCTTGAGGCAACTGAGTGTTGGCATTTTGATGATAGGAAATCTTAATTTTCCTAAGAATTTCAGTAACATCAATGAAATTGAGAACTTTAATGGATTAGAGAAGACAGAGGAAATGGGTTATACCAATGTGTGATTGGATTTCCAGTCCTATGGCACTTCCTCTCAGGTTTGGCTGCATAGTTCCCTACTAATTCCCTGCCTTACTAACTGATTCCTCCTCTATTTATACTCTGTTATTGCCTCTAATTACTCTACGCACATAATAACACAACAAATCAACACAATCATTACTAATCAACCTTCTAACTAACTCCTATTTGACTTGTAATTTAAGTAACTAACCAAACTAACGAGAGAATTGAGAATTGATCTTTCTCATTCCATTGTTAGCTCTTATACCAAGTTGTTGTTAATAACATACCAGCATGTTTTAATTATCGACCTTAGAATTCAACTAAACTGATTTTAGTGAAGAAGACGAGACAAAATAAAGAAAAATGACAACAAAGGTTTTACGTGGTTCGGTCAGGATTGACCTACATCCACGGGAGACCAAGAAGGAAATCCACTATAAACGAAGAATTTAAGGGTGTTTAACAGACAGATATCTCCTTTCCAAAACAGAAAGTAAGCAAGAAAATCCTTTTTTTTTGTTTTTGTTTTTTGTTTTTTGTTTTTTTTTGTTTTTGTTTTTTTTTTTACTTTTTTTTTTGTTTTTTTGTTTTTTGTTTTTTGTTTTTCTGATTTTTGTTTTTTTTGTTTTTTTTTTTTCAAAATCCCACGCTTAAAAACACATAGGGTGCGTTTGGAATTGGTTCCAAAACGTTTTTGTTTTCTGTACGAAAATAAAAATGAAAACGTTTTCATTTTCATTTTTGAATTATTTCTGAAATGCGTTTGGTAGTTTTATTTAGAGATTGATTTCAGTTTTAAAAAAAAAACTGAAAATGCGTTTGGTTTCATTTTTGAAAACATGTAATAGGTATTTAATATATTAAATAAATAATAATTGAATCCTAAATAAAAACACTAATAATTAATAAAATAATTAATAAAATATGGAAATTACAATATATTAGCTTAAATTATTGTCGCCTATACGAATCCCACATTTGATTAGCTAGATGATCCCTAAAATCAACCATGTAATTACGTTGTTGCCGACCATCCATTTCAGATGTTTCTGCTTCTTGTGCATCCATACCATGTTGTTGTTCCTGTTGCCCTTCTTGTTCTCCCTCTCCTTCAATATCTTCTACGGGCAAATCGACCTCATATTGTCTAAATAGGGGATCATCTCGCGCGTGCAACTTAATTAAATTGTGGATCACACAACAAGCTATTGGTATACTATTTTGTCTTGGCATCCAATAATTTGTCATATGCTTAAGAATTTTAAACCTTGCTTTCAAGACCCCAAAGCACCTCTCTATG